ACATTTTATTTGTTTCCTATCATACTCTCATCTAATTTAATTAATTCTATATATGTTCTGATAATTACAAATTTATTAAATTAATGTGATAATATAAATAATAATTATTTATTTCATTAAATATAAAATTTTAATTTAATTATGTATAATAATTATTTATTTAAATAAAAATATAATTATATTAATAAATAATTTTTTTTCTTATATACTTCTTTTATACTATTTATTATAATATATAGAAATAAATTACTAATTTAGATAAAAATACAATTATACAATCTTATCATTCAAATAAAAATATATCATTAATATACCATCATTTAGACAAAAATTTTATCATTATAATTTTATATTATTATCATTTAATTACTATCATTATTATATATTAATTAATTATCGCCAAACAAAGTCTAACTTCAGCATTTAAATCTTAAGTTAAAATTCAAAAGTAAATCTGCAGTAAAAAATAAGTTACTTGGGTTAAAAAATTTTCAGAAAATTTCTGTCAGCAGAGGAAACATGATGTGATGGGAGTGGGCCACCCCACACTTTTCGTCCTGTATGGCATATTTCCTACTTCCAATCACTTTCCTCCAACTGTCCAGACTTCTAGAAGACGGAGTTCCTACCGACCACATTCATATGTCCCGAACCACGTGGACGTCCAGGATCGAATCCATTCTCGTCAGACGAACGTCGCCGTCAAGGCAGTAACCGACGCTAACCCTCCGTGGAATCTGCCATCGCGGGCCCCACCTATGTGGCTAATGATCTACGATTCTATTGGCTGATGATCAGGTCAAAAAACTAACGGGACCCACACCGTTGATATTATATATAATATGCCCTGGGTGAATGGCAAGAGCATGGAATGGATGGATAAGCATTGGAAACTGTGGGGCTTGTGGGAGGTGGGCCCCCACTAATGACAATGACAGCACATAGTTGTCCGCCAGTTACAGGGAGTTGATATGACACGTGGCGTTCATCCGTAGATCGGAATATATAAGTGGGCTTATGAAAATGGAAATGCCTTTTTTTTTTTTATAAGGAGCTTCAAGCATTTTCTATAATCTCTAATATAAAAAGTAGAGCGTTCATTAAAAATTCTTAATTAAATTTAAGAATGTAAAAAATAATTATATTAATCTTAATTAGATTTATTTAATTAATCAAATATTAATTAAAAATCGTTAATTTTTTTTTTTAATGGATATTAAGGGAAATTTGTCCACTTCAAAATGCTTACGATGATATGATTTTTGTACTGCTAGTTTGTGATTAATTAGTACATAACAAATAACATATACGTTTTTTTTTCATATGTTAATTAATTAAATATGTTTTTTTTTTTTCATTTTTAAGTTCATAATTGATTGAACTTAAGGGGGGGTTATGTACTTGTACGGAAATTAAGAATTTTAAATAACATAGGGTTGAGTTTAATATTATGTTGAACAATAATTAATTATTATTAAGAATAATCTTAATATAATATATTTATATATATTATAAATACCATAAGAAAAAGACTGGTAGAAGTATATTAGCCATAAGCTATTTGGATTGATATGTTAAAACCAATTTTTGCAAGTCTTTTTAAATTATTATTTTTTTTTAAAAAAAAAACAGATACATTCCATTAATCAAATAGTGTCGATATAAGAAAATAATTTTAATCTTTTTGTATCACGAGATTCAAGAATTTAAAACGAAATAAAGAACCAGAACAAAAAATGTGTAAGAACAATAAAAATTCTCAAAAGAAAGATAAGTAACTTTAGAAAAAAATTAATATGATTCTTTTGTATTTAGATCTCTGAGAGTTCAATGAGGTATCGAGAAATATTTATAATGTATCAAAATAATATTGTACATGTGCCACACATAGATAAAATCAATCCCAATTTTAACCTAATACACCGGTATACACACATCGCACGTGTCGCAAATCAGAATTATGTAGTCCATTATTTTGATACTTATGGGCTTAGGTAATTGGGCTGTCCAAATCATAAGCCCATTATTAGCCGACACATCGTATTTAAACAAGAAAGTTAAAGTTAGTGACTCTTGCACAAGTTGTTGACAATCATGGTCTATATGAAGTGCTTCTATAAAATTATGGTTTATACAATGTTATATATTTTATTTTAGGTTAGACTATTTATTTAATCTTCAAATTTTCATATATATTTTATTTTGATCCTAAATATTTTTATAATTATAAAATAGTTTATGAACTTTTCAACTTTTTTTTACAAATACTAACATACTCAATTTCAAAAGAAATAATCGAAGAAAATTGAGTATTGTTTGGTTTTCTTTCTCATCCTCCTCCCTCAATTTCCTTTCCATCTTCTGCTTCTTTTTGAAAAACATTGATTATCATTTAGTTCTCTCTTCTCTTCTCTTCCCTCATCTTTTTCTGTAAATGAAAAGAAATACTCATTTGTTTTTTTTAGTTTCTGGTCTATTCTACTTCTATAAATTTCAATCTCTCGAAAACAATATTCTTTTAAGGAGTGATGTATTTCTTTTTCTTCTTCTTCTTTCAAGATTCTCAAAAAACTAAGGAGAGATCATTGTTTATGGCAGTAAAAAAGAGAGAGAAATAAAGG